CACTTTAAAAAAAACAGACACATAAATGCGGAAAAAAAAAAAATCTGTGTTCAGCATTTAAACATTCTGTGTGAGTTTTCGCTTGTTTGCCGAGACACGAGGCTGTAACTGCAGGACTCATCTCCAAATTAACCATCATAGATGTGCTCAGACATCATCACTCCATACGTTTGTCCAGGACCAACTCAAACGGGTCCGTGCTGCAAAAATCGAAAAGGGCCCTTAGATGCGTGGTGGGAGAGGTGCCCAGAGCCCGGCCCCGCTGGCCCCACGGCCAGTGGCTCGCAGGGGGTTTCTCTACTATCCCACGTGCCTGACGTGCTGTATGGAGACACGCAGACAAGCAGAGATGCTGGAAGAAGAGGGGAAGAAATACTCGCTTGCTTTCTAAGCGTGGCACTTTTGTATCTCAGCGCATTGGCGTAACTACAGCTGGCAGTCCTTATTTTAAAATATGAGCGTTTCTCTGCTGGAAATGCTATCCTCCACTATTTCCTTGATCTGAAAGCTGTAAGTGTCAATACATCAGCACTGAAGTCTGCTGAGTGCCTAGAAATAAGGCGGTCTCATTTCCAAAAAAAAAAAAAAGTGACCACCAGGCTGCTGTTGGCTCTGCCAGCGCAGCGGGAGAGATGGCTTTTTGCAACTTTGATTTACTGGCAATTGTTGGAAAAGAAGCAAGCAAGAAATGAAAACCCAATATTTCCATTACAGTTTACTTAATAAAAAAATATTGTAGGGAAGTCAGGCATCATAAAATGCCCATCTTCTCTCTATATTTACAGGATCATACAATAACTTGAGCCAGACCAGTAATCAATTTTAAAAAGCCCTTCGCAATTGAAGGCACGGACAGGGGAGTGTTCAATATCCCCGTAGCAAACCAGCAGCCACGCTTCACCAGAGCGCCCCGGCCGTGGCCAGACTGTGTTACAGCAAAGGGCAGAGGGTAAAGCACCCCCCAAAAGGCTGCTCACAGAGAGCTCTGGAGCAGGACTCTCCAAGAAGCCGTTTTGAACACTGAGCTATTTCTCCTCCAATGTGCCCAAGAGCTCTTCCCCATCCTCCATTCTCCCCACTTGCAAAATTCCTTTGCTGGTTGATATGGAGGATATTTTTAACATCAAGCTCCTGTGTTACGGCCAATCCATCAGGCAGCAAGCGCTGCCTATGGCAAAAAAAAAAAAATCATTTATGACCAGGTGGTTTGTCCTCTCCCTCTCCTCTCCCTCAGCATCACATTCTGGTCCTTCCCATTATCTTCACTTACTACTGGGCCTGCGAACCCTCTGGTTTAGGTGTAGATGCCATCGCCTCGGTTCTAGGGGCCTGTCCTGGAGCAGAGGGGCTGCGGAGGATGGTGCCACCCTGCCCCAGCCCTCCCTGACCCTGCACCGGTCGCAGCTCAGTGTCCCAGCTCCTGCTGAGCCAGGGTCCCCTGAGGAGAGGGCGTTAGTCCGCGTGCTGGCCCACGGGCCAGCGGGTTTAGGGCTACCTGGGGTCCATCTACGCTCCACCGCAGGCGCTGAGGCTCTTTTATTCCGTCAGTAACTCGGGCAGCTCCATTTGTTCAGCTTCATCAGAAGAACTGAGTCGTTTGATGTACGAGGCACTTCGGGACAAGTCTACAAGAACTTCTTTTAATAGGAGAAAGTCCAGGCTGCTGCTGAAGGAAATGCAGAGTCACTGAGGTTGTGCTGAGAAATAAAGGCTCGTTTCCCGGGGAGGACCATTCCCTCTGCGTGTGTTAAGACCCTGGCCGATGTCCTTCAGCTGAACAGTGCCTTGGGCGCCAAGCAGGAGCGGGTACGAGCCTGTGGCCCACTAGCAAGTCAGAGATAAATGATGCGATGCTGCTTTCTTCCTGAAGCCTGCGACCCGTCCTCCAAAGACACGTAAAGATAAAACGTGCTGTTAGAGCAGGTGCTGATGTGGAGGCACGTGGAGAAGAGCAGCTGGTGCCTGCCTGAATCTCCACGGAGCAGTGAGAAGTTTCCGGGAGCAGGAAGGGCACTGCTGTAAAGTCAAACGAGCACTCTGCCAGTCAACCAGTGTTGCTTATTTCTCAGTCGATAGTTTAATCTATTTTAATGATTATCAATACTGATGTTGAGTGTAATCACCTTGTCTGATACAATTGCTAGAATCTAAAAGTCAACTTGATTTTAGTGGTTTATCATTAGGAGTATTATTTAGTCGGATTAAACTGGTCTTAATTCCTCCACAGTCATCATGTAAAAGCTGTTTGGAGCACATTACGGTGACCCTCCTCATCACGATATGAATCAATGCCCTGTCTCCATCCTATATATTTTCAGCAGCATCTAGCAAGCAGCCACCCAGACGGACACCAGAGTAATACGAGGTATAAATATTCATGAATCGTTCCTACCACCATTAAAATTTCCTTAAACCCCACCACAGCAGTGGTTGCCTTTACCTCTCCCGGGGGCGATGGGGCCCATTAGCCCCCGGCTGCCAGAAGAAGGGCTGGGAAACGCTCATGAATGGGATTTGGAGGAGAAGCTGGAGCGGCCCAGTAGTGAGGGGCTTTCAGGGGCCGGATCCAGCCTCGCTGGAGGAAGAGTTGTGCTGCAAAGGCAGTTCCAGGCACATCCCTGTTGCCTCCCAGGGCCACGTGGTGCCTCTTTCCTCTGTGTATCTACAGATCAAGCAGCGACCTTGCCCAGGTTTAGTCACAGCACTGATGGCGAAGAGAGACATGGTGTTGGCTTCTGCTCTTTGAGCCTGAAAAGCAGCTTGGTTTTCTTCTTGTACTTTTGGCACAGCTGTAAACAAACCCTCTCCCAACAGCGTTGTACTAAAAACCTTGCGGGAGTGCCTTTTGTTGCTTCCACAAGATGCTGCAGCCCTTTAAAGGCAGTTGGGAGGAAACAGAGGGAAGGAGATCCTGGAGCAGCCAACAGTGGAAGTTTGTGCTCCATGCTTCTTACTAGATGAACCAACTTTCTTTCCTTTAGACTAATAACACATTTTGTCAGTGAGAATACAAGCATGAATTTAGAAAAAAAAAAAAAAAAAATTCCAAGAGGCAGCCCGCAGTGGAAAATTAAGTACATATTTTTCTTATTGGAACAAGGGACCGAAACCAGTGTGTAACAGCCAGGAGTCCATTCCTGGAAGAATCTTCTGTGGACAATGGAGAACTATGTTAGCTAAATTATTTGATTAATTTGTTTAAAAATAATTCCCTGAAGACATTTTAGAAGTTCCCTCTAGTTAATGAGATTTCCGTGATAGTTAAAAAAAAAAAAATAAAATTAGCAAACAATGCTGCTAATCTTGGATTACACGCAGCACGAGGGAAGAATTAGTGGCATAAAGCGAGAAGATTAAGAGACTTTGCTTTCCAACAAAGTAGCTGCGACAGGAGCTACATGCTGTGCTTTCCTGCCCGAGATTAACAGAGAGGTGGTTACAATCTGCCCTTCAGTCTCCAACCTGGTGTATCTGGGCATGGCTCTGCCCTCGCCTTCTGACACGGGTCTGGCTCTGAGGAAATAACATGGGCTGAGCAAAGAGATGGCCGAGGCCTGGCACCCAAACAGGGGACAGGGAAGAGCAGGGACAGCTCTGTGCAGCTGATAGTTAATTGGAAATTAATTAAATGCAGTCAAACAGTTCATTGGAAATAACATTTTCTCGAGTGTAAGTATTCACTTAACCCACCTACTAAATATTACTTACATACAAACTGTCAATAAATAACCATCATTGCTTCACGTTTTAGAAGTTAAATTATTTTCCATTAAAAGTCTCAAATCACAGCAACTTTCTATGCCCCATATTTGGCTGTTCTAACAACAGTATGAAACGGGGATAAAATACATCCCAAAATAGGATTACATCAAGCAATAAAAGGGGAAATAATCTTTGAAGAAATGATGTAAGAACAAATTCTAACTGCATTAAAAAGTAACAAGTCATGGTTTCAATCGCCAGCCAGGCGAGAGTTTGATAATCTCGTGTACATCATATAAATCCGCGAGCGACAAACTGCGTTTTAATTCATGTACTGAAAAGGTTAACTTCTAATACCCTCGGCTTGCTGCAGGAATCAGGGCAAACGCCTCTGCCCCAAGCACACACCGAGACTAATGAAGTGACCGGCCTCACCGGGCGGATCTCGCGTGACCCCCGGGCGTCTGGCAGAGCTCTAGAACGTTGCAGAAGTTCTTGGCTTTTCACAAGACGACGCAGCAAATCCTTTTTACTCGGCTATCGGGGCAGGGAGTGCCAAGCAGCACTTCTGGGGGGGCACAGGACCAGGAGCCATCGGGACCCGGAGCCGCCGGGATGGGGTTATCCCGCTTGGGCCACCGACACCCAACCACCATCTCACCTGAGGGGACCCGATCCACCGCGAGCAAGAACGCGGAATGCGGTTACTTGTGCAAGTTCCTGCTGCAACAGAGGCTGAAATGAAATTTTCTGGGGGTGAAGCTGCCCCCCACCCCTCCAAAACCACCCCAACCCTGTTCCACGGGGCTTTATCGGTGGTGCGTGAAGATCTGTACGAGCTCGAAGAGAAAAATGCTTCATTTTTAGTGTGTGCGTTTGGCAGCTGTTTAGATATGATCATTTGAACTCCTTAGTTTATCATTTTTTAAAGAATTTGATTATTTGTTTTAATCTGTTTCGACTTAGCTTTTATTATTTAAAACCAAAACTTAAATCACGTCCTTTTCACAGCTACCTGAAATCAAAAGGAAGGAGCCCCAGGATAACCCCACAAATGTATAAAACTGCTCATATTGACCTTTTTACAAAAATCAGCCCTCCTGCTCACAAACTTATTTATTCAAGAGTCATTCATTGTACTCAATGAAGTATTAACAAAAAGTTTATTCGTTGAGGTAACTTTATTTAAGTTTTCTTCAAACACAACACAGCACTGCAAAAACAATGCAATTGCAAGGTACTGTCTCCTTAGCTTCTCTCTCTTTTTTTTTTTCTCTGTGGTACTTATCGAAAACAGAAGCTTGCAAAGAAAATGCATGTTGTACAAAACCATTCCATGGGGTATATGATGACATACAGCAATTGTAATCCTCGGAACACACAGGTATTGATGTATAAATGCTTTAACTCTTAAAAATAAAATGCAGAGCGGAACTCTGTGATGAGCTGTACGTGAGGCTCCCACCAACTGACACCAGGCTTCTGCTTTTGCATCAATAATGGATCCTCTGTGCTGAAGTTAATTATCAGGTGTTTTTCCCTCCGATGCACACAAAATTGAGTATGAATAAAAAAGGCCAAATCTTACCATTCAATGCAACTGGACTGAGCAGCCTGTGACTCCAGGCTGGGCTCAAGGCACAGGGTGATCTCATCCTCTGTTTTTAAACCAGCCACTCTATGGTTAACTAGATGTACATGTTCATCTAAAAATAAATAGTCATCCCACGGTACGCACTGTAGCATGATGGCAAATAAATAATTCTACAGCGCCTACTGCTGTGACTCAATATCATACTTTGGGGAGAAACAGCTAAAATTAGGGGGAAAAAATAGGGGGGGGGAAATTGTATCTATGCTGAAACAATACAGTAAATATTAAATATTTTATTATTGGCATGTCATTCTCAAGTAAACAACGACAAATTAATGACAAATTAAATAATAAAAAGTAAGTACTAAATGTGGTCCCTAAGCAACTGCGATTTCAAGTGTTTGTCAAAGTCATCCAGGAGCAAAATCCAGCGGAACCCAGAGCAGAACCCAGCCCGACACTAGGCAGGCTCCTCGTTCACCAGCAAGGGCTCCACTTCCAGCGCTACCGGCCCCGGCCGCCGTCCCCTGGGCTGCCCATAGAGGACAAACTGCACAGTCACCTGGTATTTTCGGGGTAAGGAAGTACTTAACCGTGATACAGAGGTAGCACTTGCAGCGCTTGCTTTCAATTAAAACCAAAATAAACTGTAGAGAATAAAAGCAGCCATCCATTTCGTTCTGGCGCTGACTCTGAATACCACAGTCCGCAGAGGAAAGCTTAAAACTTGCTGTATCTAATTCATGTACTGTAGTGTAAGTATTATCCATTTATTTAATCCCGACTGTGGAATTTTCTACATTAGCATATAACCTTTTCCAAATCCGACTTAACGCTCATTTTCAGTATTACTTTACAGCAAAAAGTTTAATCATGTTTTACGTGCAACACTAGAAAAGGGAACATACGGAAAAATTCTACCCCAAAACTTCAGATCCCTTTAGTTATGTGGGTCAAGTACACGTGAAATCTCCTTTACTACCTCATCCTCGTGCTTGCAAGGGTCCCAAGTGGGAAATTCGTTAGCAGCAGCATGAGGAACAGTGTGGAATCCAACATATTGCCCTGCGCTACTCCAGCCTCTAAATACTGCGGGGCCAGGCTGAGGGGGGATGCTGGGGAGGAGGGGAAGTTACTCAAAACTTTCAGAAATAGATCAGCAGGGCCCGATCACAAACCAAAAATTCTCATTTCCTGCAGAATTTTGGGCGGTTCACTATTTACAGGCACTGGCACGCAGACAACGCCGTGACTCGATCTTTAATGCTGTTTTCAACACAGAATTGTGCAATTAGACGTAATTATTTATTTCTGTTGTAAAGTAGACCATCGGAAATACTGCCAAGCTAAAAAGAATTAACAAGCTCGTCCTCTTTCTCCGTGGTTCCAGCTCTCAAAATTATTGACTTGGAGCACAGTCAGCCTTTAAATAGATAAATAGATCAGGGGCGTGCATCTAGAACTGAAAGTTTTTTTACTCTTCAGAATTTTTGCTAGATAGTTGGGGAGTTTTAGGCTTGAGTACTGAACTTGCTTTGTTTTCTGATAGAGATACCATCTTAAGACATAAAGATCTCGTACAGACCTATCCAGCTAGGCCCTTCCCTTAAGTATTCTTTTCTATTCCATGCTAAGAAACACACACAGCACCTCACAGGATAAACATTTCCTAGGCACACTACATCGAGATGGAAATGACTTGCGATGGAAAGCAGCAACTGTCTTCACAAAGCCAAGCCACCGCCAGCCAGGAAAGAGCAAATCCTCTCCGTACGGCAGGGTTTGGGTCTCTTATTGTTTTTCTACTCACTTTGGGAACTTTTTTTTAAGTTTTACTAAAAGAGGGAGTGATTTCAGCAGCAGACTATGCTAAACCCAGCATTACTTGCTATCTAACTTCAAGGAAGAAAGTTTTAAGAAGGACATTAGATGGGTGGAAGCAGGTGTAAGTAGGGAGCCTCTAACACGAGGATCTGCGTGAGAGCAGGTTTAAAGGCACATGGTGTAGAAACAAGTGGCCATGAGTCCAGCCTTGTACAAAGTCCAAAGTACACTCTTGGAAGTCCAGGTTTCACAAATCACCGCTACTGTTAGATGTAAAACCCCATTTAAAAATGAAATAATTTCTCTGGGAGGAAATCTGACATACAGAATTCTACCAGAAACGCTTTAGATCAGTTAAAATAACTTGGCTGGTAGACAATGGTTGTGAGAAGTTTGATGTAGGTGATTATTTATAAAAGTAAGGAGAGGGAGAAGGAAAAAAAAAAAAAAAAGCGCTTTCTGGGAGGCCTGGATGAATGAAGAGGAAATTCTCTACATCCTAGGCAGAGCCCCAAGAAATATCCCACCTTCCCAAAGCCTTCCAGCATCCCACCTCTGAGGCCAACCAACTAAAGACTAGACAGGATTTCCTTCAGAGACAGCAGGTCAATGCTCCTTTTTAAGCATTTCTGCAGAATTATGTAGGGAACGCTTTCTTCTTATTGCTTAGCAAATTAATTTTATGGCATATATACCTACCACTTAAATTTCCTGCCTTTTTCTTTTTTATAGGCCTTGCTGTACTTGCAGCTGAGCACCTCCCCGAGTCTTAACAGTTGCGCTGGTGGAAAAAAAAAACACTGTGAACTGGGAATCAAAGCTGCTGAAATCACACTGTGGGCTTGGGACTCTCAGCCACCAAGCTGGCAACAGCAACAGAACTTTTAAAGAGGAATAAATTATAAACACAAGTTACGGGGAGCTTATCAAACAGTTTTTGTAGCACACGTACTCAGCCGCTCATATGTTTGAAATAAACGCTAAACCGCTAAGACTACTTAATACAGAAACTAACTCGCTGCTCAAGTCTGACTTTCTGGGGGAAACTTTTTAAGACCTAAGCATGCAGACAGCCCAAAGTGGAGGAGACAACCAAACTGACTTCTCAGAGAAAAGTTCAGGACAGCCACTGAGCCAGTGTATCAAATTCGTTTCCTTGATTTAAACAACACAATGACAAAAAATGAAACCGTTTTGAGACAAAAGCTGGTATTTACAGGAGCGCAAAGAAGTGGTATGTTTGGCTCGAAAACTCTCCGGGCTGAATTGTCAAGTCAGACTTACATTCTCTGCACAGTGTAATTAAATTACAAAGCGTGATGTTTTGTAGAAGTATATAATGGATTCCAAGTGGTTGCCCTGCAAATCACAAAAGGTGCAAGAGAAGAGTCTGTGTACAACAGCTTGGCTCTTACTGAATATACTTTGGCCACCTAGTAACAACCGGGCTCTGCTTAATGAAAAGAAGTACATGTGGAGGATCTGAACACAGTTCTTGACAATAGGGTGATGTCAGATAAAAAATAATAAAAAATAAGGAAAAAAAAAAAAGGCAAAAATCTTGGTAAAGGGCTTTGTCTGCACTAAACACAAAGCAGAGTTGTTTGGTTTTGGGGGGAGCAGGGGAGGAAGGAAGCAGGATGAAAGAGGGTAGCAGACTCACAGAAAAGGACAAAGTTTTCTGGAAAAACTTGTACTAGATTCAGTCTCCGAAACTTAGTGATGGCCGCTACTCCCGGTCCAAGGACGTAACTGCTCATCAGCTGATTTTAAAATATGTAGTAGGGCCTCCTTGTGTACGAGTGAAACATGAAGTAATCATGCATTTTAAAAAAAAAAAAAAAGCTCTAATAAGGTCCACCATGAAACCCTACAGTAGGCAAACCCAGACTAAGTGTCTCTGACCGCCCGGGCCCCCTGTCAGGCCCATTTCAACCCTGGGCTTTGTGGTTGCTTGAGAAACTCCAACCACCTTCCAGTGCAAAGCTGCAGTTGGAAGGAAACATGTACTGGAAAAGAAAAAACGTGTCCAATTTATAACTCAGATGTGTAATGCTCTGAAACTCCTCTTAAAATGAAAAGAGGACAATTCATACTTCACAAACAATTGGATGCTTCCATTATTTATCGAAAATAACCGGCTTATTGTGCAACCGAATAACTTTAACTGTGGACACCAAGGAAACAGGATGACGGTGTTATCCTGCTAAACCGAGCTGAAACAACTCCAGTGTAATCCTGCACTAAGTAACGCTGGAGCTGCTCTTCCAGCTATGATCAGGACTCCATTTGTTTCTAAAAATAGTCAATGCCAGCCGTGTCAGATGGAAGCAAAAGAATACTGCAGCAGACACAGAGTGAGTGAACTCTTAATCCTGGCTTGGACCTTGAGAAATGAGAGTTTATTTTCCACCTAATGAAACTCTGGACACTATCAGGAATAAAGTCTACTAGAATGAGGCAATTCCTGCAACTACTCCTCAAAGCAGAGACTGTCTGTTACACAAACGATCAATTATGAAACACCTCCCTCTCAGAAATTGTGACTCTGTTTTCCAAAACCCAGGTGATCCTGTTCTTCATTTTCTAGTCTAACATGACATATCAGTTTGTTAGGGTTTGGGGGTTTTTTTTATTTTCTTGCTTGGCAAGAGACAGTAACGAAGTTCTCTTTTTAAAAGCATTGACTTCCTTACCTTCAGGGCTTCTCAAAGCAGGAGGTCTGCTTTTGTTTTCTCTTGATTACAAATACTTCATACATTTTCAACTAACACTATATACTTGACTAGATTCCTATAAGCTCCTCACCCTGATTTGGAAGCATCTGTTTTCAATATAATTTGAACTGGAGGACTATTAGCAAGATTGGATTCAGACTCCAATCAAGACAGAACCCAGAAATGAATGTCATGTGCACACTGGCACTGCAATCCTGGGGCAGGGCTCCGAGAGGGGGAGGTTTGGGGCCAGTACAAGTTTCTTTTCAGAGTATATCATAGAAAGGCATCTGCAAATATGCACACAACGTACTGTAAGGGTCATCAAGATCAAGTTCTAGGGGTTTTGGGGTAAATAAATACTGGCTGGTTTGTTTCCAGCTGGGGGGCTAGGGGTAGAAGAAAGAATCCCTACTTTGCTCAGGGAACAAAAGGCCTGAGCGCTCCAAGGAGCCACACGGGCTACCAACCCCGAATCCCTGCAGTCTGCATTGTCTCGTAAAGGAGAAAACTACAATTTATCTCCAAAGGGGCCACGAACCACAGTTTAGTCTCACCACTCTAGTGGAGTATTGTGTTCCCACGCTGCAGAATGTTTCACTAAACTGCCCATTTAAATCACCATGGCTGGAGATGCAAAAAAAAAAAAAAAACCAAACCCAAACCCCCACAGATGGCTCTGCTGAACGACAGCATAATTTAAGTCCATCCACAGGCCAGGGTCGGCTGTCCCATCGCTAGTCTGATTGGAGTTACTTTAATCAGAAAGACAAGACTGATGCCTGGGAATCATAACTTCTGGAACTGTTCCAGGTAAATCTGGTAAAGAACTTCCTTTTAATGTGGAATGGATTAACACAATATGCTTCAGCATGGTCCTGAAGTCACTCTACATTTCATCCCGTTGTACAGTTTGAGTCCGTGGGGCTAAGTACCAACATGTTTTCAGACACAAAGCTGAAATTCTTACTTCTGCAGAAACCAGAAAACCTCAACTTTATACTCTTGTAAATGAAGATACGAGCTATAGTAACAAGGCAGGTGACTATAAAGCTGTAGGGAACAGTAAGACCAAGTACCACCACATCACTGTCCGCTAGGCTTTTAAAGCAAAAAGTACAATATTCCTCTAAATGTTTTGCCTCTAAAGTCTTGATCCCAAAACGCTAATGCTGAGTCTAGAACGAGCACAGCAATAACCAATATACTGTGGGCATCTTATGTACGTCCCCTGAACATAAGAATAAAAAACTATAGTGTTTGAAGTTTGCTGAGGACTTTAAAGACACTGGCATACTAACCTAGACAACTGTGCAGCTGGTTTCCCCTTCGCATGACTCAGCGAGCAGAGCTGCTGGTTTTCAGGACCATTCAGTGTCTCAGTGCATCTGATTTTGCCCCAAATTACTCAGTTAAGGGTAGCTGCAGCATTTCTTTGTTAAGTGCTATTTTCTGAAACAAAGTTTGCCAAAACCTCACTGTTTGTCTCTGACGTTCATGCAATCTTGCAGTAACACAATTTAACCAAAGTTTCAAAGCTGTAATTCTATATTTGCATTTAAGAACTGATAGGTTCAGGGCTTTTTGTTGGTTTTTTTTTTTTTTACATTTATCAGACAGCAACCCCCCCTGCCCAACTTTTAGTATACTACATGTTCTACTTTTGTCCATGTTATACTACATATTTGTACTTTTTATACTAATATTGTACTTTTGCTTTAAAAGCCTAGTAACAGTGATGTGGTGGTACTTGGTCTTACTGTTCCCTACAGCTTTATAGTCACCTGCCTTGTTACTATAGCTCGTATCTTCATTTAAAAGAGTATAAAGTTGAGGTTTTCTGGTTTCTCCTGAAGTAAGAATTTCAGGTTTGTGTCTGAAAACATGTTGGTACTTAGCCCCACGAACTCAAACTCTCCAACAGGATGAAATGAAGAGTGACTTCAGGACCATGCTGAAGCATATTGTGTTAATCCATACAAGATATAAATTAACCTGTGCAATGCAGCTCTAATGTAGGTATTTTCTATAAACTTGTTATTCTTATCAAGAAATATTATTATAAAAAACATACAGATGATTGTTAAGAAGATTTTATGATCAGGTTAGAATCACTGAAAAAATGTTTTCATTTAAAAAAAAAAAATCCACTTAATTTCTGACCTACTTATTACCAAGCCTATCCCGAGAAACTCTAGTTATAACAAGAAAAGGATACAAAAACGTCTAGAAACAAAACTCCAAAGCTCCCAATGAGCCATGGCAGATGGTGTATGAAGTAGAGGGCGCGGAAGGATTCGGTAGTTGGCATCTTCAAAACAAGGCTCAGTCCGTATGTACAGTTTCCCATCATGGCTAATGCAAACAGCAGGTAAGAGGTGCCTTCTGTCGATTTTCTCTGGAACTAAATGCAAAGAAGATTTTACAAATAGAAAGAAATGTTAAAACATCTATCGCAGTAGCCAGTTACAGATAATTTTGACATGTTGTACTATAACACATCCAAAGACTTTCAGTCATTCTTGTCCATCTCTTCCTGGGCTCTGAATCGTCTAAGCTTGGTACTTTCACCACGTACCACTGAAAACTACAGAAATTATTACAGTCCTCAGAAGCAGCTCCAGTTAATGTAATTTTTATATAAGTGCAAAGCAGCAAGCATAATCTGCTTCCAAACCATACTTAGTTCTTAAGAATTCTGTTGCTCTATCAGCCTGTTCAGTAGACCTTTTCGAAAATATTGTGGTATTCCAGCTGTGAAGAAAAAGGGAGAGGAGGAATACAAATAGGCTTGGAATGAACTGATCATTTCCATAATAAATTAAAATGCCTGGATATAACTGACAATGTGAAACCTTCTGGTCTTCTGTTTGGGGTTTTTTTGGGGGGGTTTGGTTTGGTTTGGGTTTTTTAATATATTGACAGTGAAGAGGCTGGGGGAAAAAAAAAAAGTCACTAATGGCATCTTTATGAAAAGGGGCTAAAATTCTGAACTAATTTTCCACCAATTCTAACTTTCGATCCCATGGTTGGTCACTTATGGTAGAACAGTTTGGAGAGAGAAAAGGGGAGATACCCCTTGCCCATGACAACAATCACACAAAGCGTGTTTCTGTTCATATCTGATAAATCCAACTGTAAATATTTCACTTTCTCTTCCCCTGCCAAACAATCCTTGTCCATCAATCAAAGAACATAATTTTCCTAAAATTCTCACCATCCTTCTCTGAATGAGGAAAAAAAACCCCCACCAATGTATTTTTTTCTTTATCATTTTAGACAGTCACAAAAGCAAAATAGGCTTTCAAGTTGAAGAGGGCTCACTGTTAGGGAGAATCCAACATCTAAAGCAGCATAGATTATTTTGTAAAGCATACAAGTATACTTAGCAAAAAGCTACTTACATTTTTATACAGCTGAGGAAATCTACTTCCCAAGTAAAACACACAGGATATATAGCCACAAATGAAGCCTGACATTTCAATCATATCAAGAGAATTCTGAAAAAGAAAGGTACATGTATTTTGGCAAGAATGTTTTCAGGCATTTCAGAGGATTAAGCTGAGAGTCCACTGGCTGATTTTTCTGGACAGAACTCTTTTCAAAGCAGTTCAGTGCTGCTCTTCAAATGACCAAAGAGGGCTAGAAAGGGTTTAATCTTTATCTCACAACAATGCACACTGCTGCATCATAGCCACGACTGAGATCAAAACTAGTGCTGGGCTTTAGGATACGACACTAATATCAATCCGGTTCTCCTGCTAAAAAAGCCTGGGCACAATAATTCAAACCAAAACTAAGAACTGTAGCTAGGGCCACTAAAAAAAAAAAAATGAATCATCCTGTCTGGAGAAAGCAGAATACTCATTTTTCACAGTTTAAGAGTTGTTAGTTTTCTCATTCTAGCTGTGTTTTGAAAATAAGCTGCTTCCCTGCTGGGCAATGTTGCTGGATTACAATTATTTTACTGGCATTAGTATGAAGGCCAAATTGTTAGAATAGCCTGTGAACTTTCCTGCTGAAATGACAGCGGCAGCAGGTACAATTGTAATTTTCCACTTTTATTGATCTCACTTGTGACTGTGTAGTCTCTACGTGGATGTCTACAGTATTTAACACAAGCAGAAACCCAACACGAATACGTGTTATTTCAGAGCGGCGCATCCTAGCGACCCAAGGGACAGAATAAGCCCAAAACAAAGCAAGCTGCTAAAAGAAGCAATTTTATAACTATTTTTATTTTGGGATGTATGGTCCGTAGTTAAAACATCCACATAGTGCCACATTTATGGTTTCTAAAATCATTGTTGAAAACGTCACGCAACTTTCTTTAAAGCTGAGAGTACACAATCTTGTCAAGGTGCTTTTGGGTGGGATTTTGTTTGGAATGGAAGCAGGTAAGAACTTACATTACTTCTTTCCATTACTGTACTCTGGTCTTGGTTTCTTAGTAACAGCTGACAGAGTAAAATAACACTCAGTGCTATGCACACCATGATCCAGGTTATACAAAAACTCTTCAGGCTCTTGCTGCCTAAAACGACACACAAATTAGCTGAAAAATAACATCTACTGTTGATTTGAGGTTACCTTTTGTTTGCGATATGAATATGTAAATTTAAAGGTACAATTCCAGGTATCTTTTTCTTGGCAGCGATGTAAGCCCACCTCTTTCTTCTGGGCTCTGTGCCCACCATCATAGTTGCGCTGTGTCTTTGTGCAACAACTGAGGGTAGCAGTGCAGGAGCAGGAGGCGAATTCCTGCAATGGGCATTGCTACTGAGAGAAAATTTTCATACTCAGCTTATCTCTTATATTAACTCCTAATAGTTTACAATTAAATAACTAACAGCTGATAAACAGAAAGCTGCTAAGTAGAATAGAATGTAAGAGTTTCTCTCAAGATCTCTTGATTAAAAACTGCAAAAGCAAGGATATTTGAAATGGAAATTAATGAGAATATCTTTCAGATCAATATGCAATCTAAGTGCTGTGCTGGACCAGTCTCTATGGCCACGGTCAGCGAGATATCGAGCCTTGCTGAGACTCAGGTATTCAAAGACACAGACTCCATACAGCAAGTCTCCACAGACACCTACAAGACAACCTGAAAGTGGCAGACAACCCTGCAGAACTCTGGAGCTACGCGAGATGCTGGTGAAGTCCCGCAGTCGCTGTTAGCAGGGGAACAACCTGCTGTAGGGCGTCACGAAGCCTGCCCTAAAGACCTGGAGTCTAAACAACACCGACTTAGAAGTGCTGTTCCACAGGCTGCACTCTGCGACGCCAACCTGACCCAGTTGTGGAGGGGAACTGCTCCAGAAGTGGGTATTGAAAAGCCCTCTCCTGCAGCTTTAATCACAGTACCACTCCTCCCTCTCCAGCTATGCAAACCATTGAGCTGAAACAGGCACTGGCAGTTAAAATGTACAAAAGCCTGTGTTTGTTTTCAAGAGTAGGCAGCAGGAAGGAAATATCTTCAGCGCTGACCTATCTCCAGGTTTATTATCAGTTCCATATTGAATGAATCTGCTTTATCCCTATTTAGTCTGCTGGGCAGGCATCTGTTTTACTTCAGCTTTTTGTTACCTCTGCTGTACCATGGATTTTCTTTGATACTTTATTTTTTTTTTTCAGATTGATGAGTTAATGTTTTTGATTTGATACAACGTGAACAGAGCTTTCTGTCTTCCATTTCAGTCAAAACAGTAGTCCATTGGTAGGCTGAATACTCCAACTACTGCCAGGATTTTATGAAGCACAACTCAAGTAATTTCATTCCCCTTGAATATGTTTTTTAACTGTATGTATTGAAACAGAACACGTGAAGATGTCAAGATATTTTATGCTATAAGCAAACAAAGTCCGGTTTCAATCAACATGCAGAAAACTAACTGAACCACACAAAGGAATAATGCCTGCTTTCAACTTATACATGTATTCAGATAGCTGTAAGGAGATAGTAAAACCATGGAGTAAGTTAAACTACAGAACCAGATTCCACAGAACTACTGCATTCTTTATGTCTACATAAACTGAAAGTACTACACGGAAAAACTGACAGATACTGTGTGGGTAAGACAAGAGAAAGGCAGAAGGGAAGAGAAGAGAAAGGGTAGGATTTTCACAAGAACCTGAGAAAACTAGAAGCAATAGGTCTAGCAATTCCAACCAGAATCTGTGCACTCTGTTTTTTGATCCCTCTGAAGAAAATTATTTAAATGCTGTAGAAAATATCAAAGAGTGTGCTACGTTATGGAGAACGTTTTAATTGTTGAAAAACCTTACATTTTGTCATCTTCTGATTCTTGAGCTTATAGTAGACAAATTGTGAAATCATAACTATATCCATGTTAACATAAAAAATGGCAGTGACAGTCTGAAAGAGAAGACACATTTACTTGTTCAGTATACAAATAATTCAAAATATCTTACAACTGCATGGAAATTTTGCTTCATAATGATAATGTGAATGACAAATACCAAAATACTGCCAGGAAAAAAAAAAAAAAAAAAGACGTTCCAGTACAAAACAAGCTGGAGCACTGCAGATGAATGCAGTGTAAACCTTACGCAACAGGGACTTGCTGACACAATCACAATAGCTGGTCGTTTCCCAGGACACGTAGCACAAACTCCTACCTGGGCAGACTGAGAAATCCTTCCTGTCCAGAAGCTTAAGTCTGCTCCACCTAGTTTCCCAGCACCTCAGAAGCTGCTGATCTTACCCAGTGCCTCTTATCTGAGTAAGAGAAACCCAACATCCTCTCTTTCCCTTTTCATAAGGGGCAGATGGAACAATTAGCACCTCTCTTTAAGTTGTAAAAGAGAAGACAACTCTGTCCAGCCTTGGGTCCACCTCCAGCTTGTGAAAATGTCTGCAGGTGCCTGACACATGCCTCTGTCTCTTTTAATTAAGAGTCAAAAATGAAAACCCCAGATAAGAAAGTTTCAGGCACAATTAACATACTGCTGAAAACAATTGTTGCTTTCAGAGAACAGCCCCCTTTAATGAAGAAAATCAATTTTCAAATTAGTCAGACATTAACAGCTTTCAACTAGTATTTCCCTGTTAACAAACAGCTTTCTTACGGAAAAAAGAAAAGCCCAAAACACAAGAGGCAGTTTAAAGAGTAGCTGCCCCAAACCAGCTTGATCTATTACAAGCTAAACAACACAACTTCCCTTCCAGCCCCATTTGCTCTGCAAGCTTACTTTGAAGCTGAAGTTAAATGAAAATTCCCCACTTCATTCATCACTGAGTAACACCCAGTAAGTCTCTCTGAATGTTAACTACAAGCACAAAATGGTTCCTATAACACATAACAGTATCAATGTAAATATTTGGGAAATTATGACTTATTTGACAGATGGTAGATCAGTTAACAGAATACAAAACTTATTTTCCTTCCCAGCAGGTACTTCACTGTGCAATATTAAGGTATCCCAGAGTTTAAAGAGCCAGTTTGCAAAGGATAAATCAAAAAGTAGGAATATCGACAGATTACCTGAATTGGCAGTTGATTTGTTAAGTAACAGCCCACGAAATTGGTAAGATCTCCAGCTATCCAACACAGCAGAAAGCCCAAAGACAGCGCTTGATCCACTCTTCCATTCCGATAAGCGACGTAAATTTGACTGGCACAAATTCCAGAAGTAATTGTAAAATAGCATTAAGCAAAAAACATTTAATAAGCTCCAAAGCACATTTTTCAAAATCTGAATAAAGATTAAAACTCTAGCCGCAAGAGACCTATCACAGCAGTACTCCACTTGCCTTTTGAAGAAGAACTCAGTATCACTATAGCTCACCATGTCTTCCTCTAACATAACAAAAGACTCAAATCACAACCTCATTACTGCCTGCACGTGCTCCTTTTTTGTGGCCTGCACTGAAATACCATTTTCTGGTCACCAGAACTATGCTGTAAGCATTTTATAGCCATCTGCTGTAAATAGCGGCCCTTAAAATACTGAAATAAGAAAAACACTTCTTTAACATAGAAGGGCTAAGAATGAACAAAGCTGTTAAAAGAGTTGACAACTACACTTACGCCTCTAAATGGGAGAACTATTATTCTGACTCACAATGGGGACTATGAAGCAATCCCAAACGCGAGTCCATTAGACAAATCTTGATGAATTCCACGCTCACTAACATGACAGTTTTAATGTAAAGCCCCCTTTCAACTAATATTTCTGAAGCTCAACAGCTTACTAAAAGTGGTTTTATTTTGCTTGATTTCCATAGCCCTTTTACCAGTTCAGTAAATTATATCCCCCTGATGGAGACAGACTTTGGAGTCAATCCCATTTTGTTTCAGGCATTTTCACCTGCTGGGAGCATTTCTACTTCTCCTTCGTCATCTCCTACCGACATATTTGAAACCTGAATCCCGTGCCAGTGACCAAACAGCAGCTGATTTCGTGCTACCAAAGTGCTAACTCATGTGCCGCTTCTGACCTTCTCCCAGTCCAAATTGAATTGGCAGGAGCCAGCACGACAGTACCGGTGACACAGCCTGTGGTTTAAATAAACACTGAGCCAGCTTCTGCTGCAAGTGTGCCTGCGCGTGCACACGCATCTCGGGGTGGAGAAGATAAGAGAGAAGAGGTGATTTATTCTCATTTGCTCTAAGTGGCAGAGATTAGCGTCAGTTCAGTACAACAGAACAGTACATCAAGCTCATTTGTCAACCACCAAATATTTTTGCAAACATGAACAACATGCTTCTCTGGCATATTGTATCTGTATTATGCAGATGGAGAAACATATCCAAGATAAAATTTTTTAAAAAAAGGCAGCTTTTGAAAAAGGCTTCTGGCAAGATTACTTATGTTTGAATCTGAGGACTGCTTAAGACTTTAAACTTACGGTAGTGCAGCAAACAGAAAACAGACAATGGAAATCAGTCCTATGACAACGCTCCAATACTCCCACGCGTTCTCGACACATTCTTCCAGGAGATGCCAAATCCATGGTGTTCCATTTATGCACAATCTCCTATTCTCTATTGGGGAGATATTGAAAGCATGTGTATACGGCTGAGAAGCCATCATTCCTTGGGCCGAGGTTCAATTCAGAAGTTTATTTCTGCCTCCATTTTTACCCCATGCAAATCCGCAAATCCGTTTACCAACGCTGCGCGGGCGCTGTGGAAAGACCTCTGCATCCAGACGGATGCTTGATATCACGGTTATTTCCAGTCTCATAAACGAACCTGCCAATGCAAAGGAATAAATACAGCCAGTGTGAATAAGACATTAACTGTACAACGCTTGCTTACACTTACTGCTTACAGAAGAGAAGACTTCCAAGAAAGAAAAACACTTTGTGGTCCATCATTAGCATTCATTAGCTCCTGACAAATAGGCAACACTCCAGATTTACATCACTACAGCATTTTAGTCTGAGGTTGTGCTAGACTGAGACTGCCAGTTAAACTGTGGTGCCAGCAATGGGCTACAGGCTGATGTAAATCGAGCAATTTATTTGCACTTCAGACCAAATCTCTGATTTTCACGTTCAGCGTTATGCCAGTAAAGTAACAGCACTCTCTTTAATGGTACTAGCCCAGATTCTGAACACTCAACTCACTAAATAGAAATATAACGCTGCTTTCTATGCAACTAACATTAGGATAATGTTACGAAAAAGAAACCACTTGTGACTCAGATTCCAGATGAGCTCTATGGTCTACGTGAACCTAGCTAGCCCATCAGACTAACTAGAGATTCCACATTGGGTCAAACAGTTTGGGTTATTTAATATTCCAGAGGAAAGACAAAAAGCATAAGAAACTTGCAGAATGCAAATACAGGGTACTCCTGCCCCCAGAATCCCCAGAACGAAACACAATAGTACAACATGGCTTAAATTTTGAAGCAAGGGAGGGTTGGGTTTGACCTTTAAAAATATTTTCTTGAAGTCAGTTACAATAATTCTGGATATTGTTTGTTTCTCCTGAAACAACCATCCTCTTTGAAACTTTAATGTTTGCTTAGAAGGCTAACCACTACAAAACTGAAGAAAGTGTTAACAAAAATGCAGAATTATCTATTACTATCCCTTGAAACTTCCTGCTGACAAAAGCCAGCTGATATCCTACTCATTCTGATGATACTTTAAGTCCTCCGAAGTTTAGTAATTTCTCATACAGAGGAGTTTAAAATCAGCTAGCCATTAAGGAAAAAAAAGCCAGAGCAAATGCACTGTTTAAAATAAGCCAACCGAACAAGAAAATAAGTACTGTACTAGTAGGTTCACCTGTTTAGTATTTAAAGCCAGATGTAAAACCGAGAACAAAAAGGTGGGGAAAAATTTTAAGACCATTTGGAACATCTCAGATGCACGGCAATTTCAGGAAACAGAAGTAATACTGAAGTACAGAGCATCCCTCTCGAAGTGAAGGAAGTTATGCCATAGCTCACCACACCCGTCCCCAGAGGCCTGATGAAGTACACACACACACACACACACACACACACACACACACACACACACACACGGCTTAGGAAGGCTGACGTACCCTTTCTGCAATTAACAGCTTGGAGCCATCCTCATTATGCATCAAACTACTTCAAAATCTTAGTAAAGCTTCGGAAAGTTTGTTTCCATAGAGCATCAGTCACTGTAAAGTTAGGACTCACTTTGCTAGTCATCGAGAAAGCTGCTTTTTCTTTTCAGGAGGCTTCACGTATCTGCGGCGTAAACACTGGAACAAGTTTTCTGCAGAAACTGGCTGCCTCTCAAGAGAACTGTCATCACTGGACCTAACCAATTAAACAATAAAAAAAGAACACGTATTCACACTGAGAGCTCACCTTGGCCTATTAGATATATTCAGTTTATTCAGCATATATTGGTGAAGTTATTACACTTCGTAGGCATTTTTGAAAATAATTTTTATAGTTTAAAAGAAAAGTTGTGAGTAACATTTCAAGTAAACTTTCCCACCCTCGTACTCCACAGCTGAGAAGGGTTTTAGCAGCCACTAAAAGGAGAGAAACATCAAAGCACACATACTACTCCAGAGGCAGGTTTTAGGCGCGAACTTTCAATCATTTATAAACAGTGTAACAAAAACCTTACACATTTTATTAAGCTTCATTCCAAAATAAGTATTTCAAGATAAGCAAAATACGTCAGATGTAAAAAAAAAAGGAAGATGAAACATGGTATTTTAAAACCACGTCTGAAAAATTAGGTTTAACATGGTATTTAATGTCTAAATACCATAACTGCAGTTGGACTCATGTGTGCAAAAGTTCTCTTAGAAGATCAAGGACTATGTGGCAGCAAGTCTAAACAAGGCAATTCAGACTCAACCACCTGATCTTACGCTATATCCTGCTCCAAAACCCTGCAGCCATTACGGAAAACCAAACAGTTTAAAGAGTGGTAGGAATTAGACAGGCCACTTACACTTCCCAGATGACTGAAGACTCGAGCTTTGGCCTCCTGCCACACAACACACTTAACACATTTAAAGCATGTGGATATTCTTGGTTTGTTACGACTTAACATTTACGCAGCAGAAAAACGTTCATGTTGCCAGTCCTTGGGAGCGTATTTTTAATCTTATGGTAACTGCTGTCTTTCTTAAATCCCCAGCAAAATACTCTGTCCCAGTGAGAGCTCGATCACCAAACCCAGCGAATTCCACCAGCAGTTAAAACAACTGGACACATCAGCCGGACGTATGAGCCCCCAAACCTGAACTCCTCCTGCTGTTGATGGGAAGGCAAAAGGCAACCAGTGTCAGCGTTTGATCTATTTTCACACCTGGACCCGTGACACACCTATTTTCACACCTTGACACTCAAGTATTTCATAAGAACACTTTCAGCTCAAAAGAATAATGGTGTTTGAGCAAGACCGATACAGATGGTTCCCTCCCCCAATATGTAGCCTTGCACAGAGCTGCAAATTTCTCGTCAACATTAAAACCCCCCCCTTTCACTTATTCTTATTGCATTAAACGTTTTCCACCTGTAAAGAGGATAAGGAGACTGCTATGACATTTCTTTTGTTCCTATAGTATTTACGTTGCCAATGATGAGAAAAGAAAATAATATTAAAAGGTGATTTATGCTCCTATAACAATTCCTTGCCTGTAACCTCATATTCTTTCTCAGATTACTGCCCAAATACTAGTTTCATTTGGAAAAGTTACAGTAAAGGTATTATTTTCACAAAACAGTTAACTTGGAACCTTGACATCATACCTTTCTGAAAAGGTTTGGTGTTTGTCTAGCTAGAAATAAAACCATTTATGGTGCAAGATATTTACTAAGAACGAATCAGCAGCTTGAGAGTCCTGTGTGGACACTCTTTTTCTTATTTTAATACTTTATTCTGGGGTAAAAAAAAGTACACGCAGAAATAGTCAGTGATTTAAAGGTGAAATCCACTTCACTAATAGCAGCTTCACAGTGCAGAGGAGGAAAAGCAAGCTGTCCCTGGAACCTGGGAGACTCCCCCCAGATCCTCTGCTCCTCCAGCTGCCAAGCTGCCCTGAACATCCACGCGATGCGGCTGCTGCATGTTCCTGGCTGTCAAACAACGAGATGTGGCTAGTAATGCGTAAAGATGTCAGATACGTGTGTATGGCAGATTTTAGATTCTCTAAACAGCAACTAATAGCAGCTTGAAATCTAAAAGGCTGTTCAGTTGTGCAGTATTCAAAATTTAATTCCTCTTGGGGGGAAAGAAAAAAAAAAAAAGAAAAAGTGGAGCTAAACTAAGAACTAATTCAGGGATTCTTCAAACACTTCTCAGTTTTAAGCCGGTTATTGTATTTTGTCTCGAGATATTTTCTAAACATATTTCTACGCACCCCCGACTGTGAACGCCGCCTCTTCAGAGGTGATGATAAAGCATGGCCGCATTTTATCTAGGAAAAAAAAGCGCCTAGTTCTCACAGAAGACTTCCAAATCAGCTTAGGAAAAAAAAAATAAAAACAAAAGAAAACAAACCCCCTAAGGAAGCGCTCCTCCTCAGGAGAGCTCGCGGGGATCGCAGCCCTAAAGCCCCCGGCGAGCCCCAGCCCCTGGGACACGGTGGGTGCAACGACCCGGGGCCCTCTGCAG